CTAGCCATGTAAGGACATAACTTGAGTCGTGGCCAGTTTTTCCTGGTTGTTCTTTCCCCCCTTTTTTGTTTTTTATTATTTTTCCCTCTCCAGGAGAAATTAAGGGTCATCGTACATGAACGTGTTAATGGATCCATCCCAATATCATGGAGTAGCATCAGTACACCCAATTTATTTGGGATGCTTTTTCTCCCTTGCATTCATGCGTGCTCTGCATCAATTTTTTCCCCTCCTCCCCCCTCCTTTTCTTTATTTCTTTGTGGAGTCCAGGCTGGCCTGATTCGAACAGACAGCAATGAGTTCTTCATCGAGCCCTTGGAGAGGGGGCAGCAGGAGACGGAGGAGCACGGGAGGGCCCACGTGGTGTACCGCCGGCCGGCGGGACGGTGCCGAGCCGCGCTACGACCTCCACCCCCAAGGTAAGGGCTGCTGCAATCTAGTCTTTTCCAACAATTAGTGATGATTTCTGGGATTACATAATATAATATAATATTATATTATTAAATAGCAATAACTGTTTCTCCTTATGCATGCCCTCTGGCTCATCCATCTTGCCCTATGGCTTTAACAGCCTGTTAAAGGGTTGTCAGTGAGAAGAAAGGAAGGAAAATGCTGAGGTTTTGCTGGGAACTTTGAAATTCTTCCAAATTTAGTTGGAATTGGATGAGTTATGCATGAGTTATTCTTCCTCAAAGAGGAAGAATCTCATAGATGGGTGCAATCAGGTCCATGGATGATCACATCATCCTTGGGATGGGAAGGAGTCAGGAGGAGCCAGGCTTGGTGCCACCCAGCCTTTGGCTGCGACTTGGAGACATACGTGCCGCAGGCTTAACGTCACCTATATGTTGTGAAACGAGGCATTGAGTTGACGTTTTAACAGGTGATAGAAGCCTTTTCTTTTCCCAGCATTCATAATTAATTTTGCTTTCCTAGTGCCTTCTCCTTTTATTTTTTTTTTCTCCTTCTTTGCCTTGAAGGAGAAAACGTGGCTTTTTTTTTTTTTCTTTTTAATGCATCACTTAACCGTGCGTTGCGCTCTTCGCCCATAAATCGCCCACCGACTTCCCCTCCCACCCGCACAAAGCTGGGTGCACCCAGAAGTGTTTACAAGCCTGGGGTCAACGTTGTGCAAAAACCCTCTATAAACCTATTTATGTTTACACCGAGGCGTTAACCTTCCCCGGGTGTTCATTCACCTCGTGTGGCACTGTAATCAACTCCCTGTTTTCTTTTTTTTTAAAGTTTTAATAGTTTCCCAGGGCCTGCTCGTTGCTTTTGTAGCATCGCTAACAGGATTGCGATTGAGAGCTTCGAAGGTGCTGCTGGGTGATGGGGTAAAGGACGAGATGAAGGATGGAGGATGCTCTGGCTGCAGTGATCTGCTTTCGAGGAGCAACCCCCAGCTTCGCATGTGTCCTCCCCAGGTGTCCCACCACCTCCCCGGGTTTCCCACCACCACCCAATGGACCATTGTAGGACCATCATCCCATAGATATGTCCTTTGGTGCTGGTGCTCCCAATTCAGTGCCATTCCCCCACGTAGAGCGTGGTGGATCGGCGACCTGGTTGGAGTTAAATATCCGATTTATTTTTCCTGCTTAATTTGTATTGGTTTTTTGGAGCATCATCATGGTGTCGGGTCACCTCAATGGCTGTTTCTTTTTCTGTTGACAGTGCCCGACGTGCGGGTGGGCGATCTCCCCAACTCCTTGGAGCTGATGGCGGAGCGGCTGGGGGACACGGAGCGCAAGAGACGTCACGCCAGGAAAGATGACTACAACATTGAGGTCTTGCTGGCCGTGGACGACTCGGTCGTACGCTTCCATGGGAAGGAGCACGTCCAGAACTATGTCCTCACCCTCATGAACATAGTAAGGTTTGGTTTTGGGGCTCCGTTGGCTTCCACCCCTCCCTTGGTTTACTGCTCTTCTGATGCTACAAATCTGTTACCCTGGAAAAAAAAAGCAAAACAGGTTTGAGGGTGGGGAAAAAATGCTGCAGGAAGGGCTGGTCCTTCCCTGGAATTTAATAGCTGTGGCAATCGGAGTGATGGAAGGCAAAGCCCTTTTGTGTCCGTCTCCGTCATGTTCCCTTAGCCAACGGGGCAGGGTCCGGCATGTTGGTCGCTGCCGCTGTCTGACACCCGAGTCCAGGAGCATCTTCTGTTTCTCGTGGCCAACACCATCTTCTCATGGTGGGAATCTCAGCAAACACTAGGAAGGAGAATGGTTGTCGATTATTTAGTTTGAAATGACGATATTATTTCTTTCGCAATTAATGATGTTTATTATTTATTTTGAATACTATTTATTGGGAAGATTTTTATAGATTTTTTTCAGAAGTTTTTTCACGTTCCTTGGAAATCCTTGAGGATCAGTCAAGTGTGTTGGAAAAGGGGGTTATAGGAGCCTCACAGGTGGCGCGGGGCAGCCCGTGCTCATTCCCTACAACTTTTTTTTTGCTTTTCTTCCTTCTTTAAAGATAAAAACCTGCATATTCCCCAAGTCCTGAGGGATGCGGACAGGTCGATATTTATTCAGCTATCCGTCTTGCGCGAGGTTTGCTCCGCTGGCACTGAATATCTGGAGATAGGGTCAGTGTGCAAAGATCTTTCGTGCACACTTCCATTTTTTTCAAGTTTTCCCTGCTTTATCATTGCCTCTTATTTATTATTTTTAAAAAGCAAACGTCTTCGTCGCAATGTGTTTTGTTCTCCGGGGCGTTATCCCGATGCCCGTGGTAGGACACTCCCAGCATTGCTTAAATTCGCTCTCAAAGTTCCTTCCTTTTGCTTATTAAATCCTTCTGCAAGGGGGAAGCTGCAGGATTCCCTGCTCCGACCTGGGAATCCAAAAAGTGGGTTTTCAGGTGCGTTTCGTGGTTTATACCCCGCAGGCAGGAGTTTGCAGGGAGCGAACGCACGGGATGCCAGGCTGGGAGCAGGGCGGACTGCGGTCTGTTCAAATAAAAGCGGTGCTGGAGGCTTTCATGAATTAAATAAAGGGGGAAAAAAAAGCAGCATCAATAAAAAAGGAGGGGGGGAAACGCACGCAACAATTACTTCTCCCTGTGTATTATTTCCTTCTATCCGTTCTTCCCCCACCCCCTTCTCCTTGTGTCTTTCCGTTTTTTAGCGCGTTTTCTTTCCAGCTTTGCCGTGACCTCGGTCCGCCTCCTCTTCCCTTGGCGCCTCCTCGTTTCCTTACTGGCTCTGATTGCCTTAAAATACCC